GGCTGCTCACCAGGACCCTCAGGTCACCACAGGGCCTTTGGCTCCTGCCTACACCCAGCCCTACTCACCTACCCAGACCCCAAGGCCGGCACCAACGCCCCTGTGTGAGGGTCATGGTTACTGCCACACAGCGCCACATGGGGGCCTCACACCACAGGCTTCTCCCACAGTCTGAGCTGCAATCCTGGGTGGACAAGCATGGCCCCATGAAGGCTCGGGGGAGGATCTGCCTGCTCCCGGCTCCCAGCAGCTCCAGGCATCGTTTGATCTCCGGCCAGGGCAGGCTGGACGATCCTTCCCACACAGTCCTGGGGCCGGACCTACGCAGGGACTGAGCTGAGCACAGAGGCCTCCCCTTGGCCCCAGCCCTCTCCTGGCTCAGGTCAGGGGCGGTGTCCATCGACCATAACTCCCAGTTCAGTCCAGGCTTGGCGGTGCCCACACGCCTGTGGTCAGTCCTGCCAGGATCGCTGGTGAGGAGGTGGCCAGCAGCCCAGACAGGAAGAAGAGGCAAAACCTCAATGCCCTGACCTCGACAGGCGACCGGCTGCTCCAGGCACGGGCACAGCAGCGGGGACAGTGCATGCTTGGGGCCTGCCTCGGGGACCAGCCATGCAGGGCTTTGTTTCCTGGTATTTAGGCAGCAGGCGTGGGGGGCCACGACCCTGGAGTCAGGCACAGCAGCATGTGGGGGCCAGACCCTCCCAGACCCGCAATTAGAGAAAGCGTCCAGCACACCATGGACGTCTCCCCGACCACCACAACTCCGCTGCCTGGCCTGGCCACATGGAAACATTGTAGCTCCTGGGGAGGAGTCCAGGAGGCCGAAGGCTGAGGGCAGGGCCCATGGCTGACCTGCAGGGAGCAGCTCTGGAGTCAAACCTGCCTGCTTAGGAAGCGCTCTCTGCCGGCCTGGATCCCCTGGGGGCCAAGGGGAAGCTGCCTCGCCACCTGCACCCGGAGGCTCCTGAGGGAGGTGTGTGCTGGATAGGCCAGAGGGAGATGGGCAGAGCCCCAGTCCTGCCCACTGTGTCTCAATCCAGCACAACAGGGACGGGCATCCCCTCGTGCCAGGTGCCACCTGAGCAGGATGAGAGGCAGGCTGGGCATCTTCCCAGGCTCCAGAGCAGGCCCCTCAGCCACGCCATGTTCCTGTGGCTGACACTGTCCAGGCTTTGCCCCTGCAGCCAGAGGGCCTGGCACACCTGCTGGTGATGGGCATCCCCTCCCCTTGCCTGGCTTCTCTGGTTCCCTGTGAACAACTCCTGGTGCTGGGCATGTGCTACCCCATGCTTTGGGACCCAAGGGTGGCCTAGGGAGGCCCCTTCAGCACCAACAGCCACTGGACTCTCCTCTGCCTACCCACCCACAGCCTCAGTCCCTGGCCAGGGCTTCCCAAACCAGGGGCCACATGCTGACCCAACCAGCCTGCAGGACCCCATTCTCAGCAGGAGACGGGCATGGTGTTAAGTAGCCCCAGTGGCCCTGCCAGAGTCTCTGCCTTTGGAGTCAACTCACCCTCCTGATCTGGTGGCCGTGCCCAGGTGGCCCCACCCACGCCCCCCTAACAAGCAGCCTCTGGAGGCAGCAGCTTCCAGGAGCGTAGACCCTGCAACTCACGGGGTAGCTGTGATTCACGGTTGCCTCTTGAAATACATTTATTGAAGCCAAAGCAATGAATCATTTCAGAAGTGAGCAGGCACTTGCAGGTATCCGGGAGCCCCTGTGCAAGGGCACCCCCACCTTGGTGTTAGAAGCCCCTGCCCTGAGAGGATGAGGACAGGCAGGCAAGCTCCCAGAGGCCAGGAGGGCCGGACCTGCTTCCTGAAGGATGCAGGGCAGTGGTATCCACTTTCCGGGCAGGCAGAGGTCACACGCCCCAGGGCCTCTCTGGCCTGGCGGTCTGTGATATCGGTTAATAACTGCATAAAGGGAGGTCCTTCTGAAGCAGGTGCCTCTTTCAGCAGCTGTCACCACCTAGTCTGAGAATGACTTGGGCAAGCAGCCTGCCTTGTGCCTCTTCTATCGTGAGACCTGGCCTTGACCTCCTCTGACTGTAACTCGCGCACTGTGCACCGGGCCGAGTGGGCGACTTTAGAAACCACCCTGGAAAGCCAACAACCAGGATCAAGCCACCACATCCCATCCTCAGCATGTCCCTAATACTGTCTCTCCTCTTCAGGGCCCCCGGCAGGAGGTGGCAGGTGGGACTCCTAGGTGCAGTGAGGCCCCTGGGTATGTTCGGCGCCCCAGGAGAGACCTTGCTAGCAGCTTGCCCACTCTCTCTCCCTGCCGCATTGGCCAGCCACAGGTCAGATGCCAAGGGCAGGGGCTGACAGGACATCAGAGGGTGGCGCCTTTGCCTCTGTTCCCTGGCTGCAGAGGCTCCCGAGCTTGGCGTTTACAGGCTCACTGAGCCACTGCAGGCACAAGAACAGGGTTCTGTGCTTTAGGCCCGATTAGGGTTTGCATAAGGGTGGTTTTCATCTGTAAACATTTCTTCTTGCCTTGAGCACCTAATTCAGAAGCAAACACTCCTGCCGTCTGGGGGACGCCTTTCCTGACAGAATCTCCCTCTAGGCCTGAGATTTCAACTTACACCCCACACAAGGGCTGCAAAGCTCAGTGAGGTGTCCATGTACAGATGGCTGGGCCAGCCATAGAACGGCCCACTCCAGCCTGCTCCCTCACCAAAGCCTCTGGCTCCCCCTGGCTCTAAGGAAACTGGTCCTCGTCCCCCAGTACCTCCTTTCTCACAGATTCTCTGAAGTCAAGAGAAATCTCCAGGGAGCCGCTGAGGCCGAGGAAATGTAAGTGACAGATCAATCTTGCTTTGGATTTCTCCTTCTCCCTCCTGAACTCGGCTGGATTAGCATCTGGCAGAAACTCCCAGGAATCAATCTCAGATTTCCGGGACCTGAAATAGAACCGGTGATGGAGAGACCGGGCTGCACCCTCCTGGATGCACTCATGGATTTCCTCAACTCCTGCGATCCAGGAGGGGGCAAGAACGCATCGGGAGGCCTCAGAGGGCCTCCCTGCCACTGGACTGTGCCCTCCTGGGGACCTGCCCGGGAGCAGTGACAGATTCCACTGTCTCTTGTCATTTCCTGGAGCAAGTATTGAATAGATCCTGGGTTTAGACACTCCTGGGCACACAGGTCAGAGAGAGGGACATAATGTGGCCCCAGCAGAGAGGGAGAGAGAGAGGACCAGGAAGAGGCTGGGAGAGGAAAGAGGGATGGTGGGAGGAGGAAAGGATTGGGGTGGGGGGGAGAGAGAGGGGGGGGGGGGGGAGAGGAGAGAGGAGAACATTTAAAAAGAAAGGAAGAGGGGGAGATGGGGGGGGCAGGCGGAGAGGCTGGGGAGGGAAGGTGGCACGCCACGTCCCCAGTCACGTCATTCTCTCCCCACTGATGTCAGAAAAGTTGGTTGAGGGTCCAGGCTTTCTCTGCCAAAGCTCCTGGTTCCTGCTCTCAGCGGGCGAGGCAAGGAGAGCAGTTCCCGGGGCTGCCGGCCGTTGCGATGTTACACAACCCCAACAAGCTGCCAATGTTTTTATATAATCCTCCGGTTCTCCCCATAAAACAGACCATAACACCCTGGCAAATACACTTCAATAAAGCTCTGTGCTATTACCGGGGCACGCCACCTTCCAGGAGATGAATCACTGCCGGAATGGCCAGGTGGCCGCTCCAGCTGAACTTCTCCTCTCGTGGCTACAGGAGAAAAGCAAAGACCAGAAAAGCCAGGGAGCTGGCCAGCCATCCCCAGGGAGCCAAGTGTTCCGTGGTGACCAGAACGCACTGAGGGGTCTGGGCGTGCTTATCTCTCCAAGAGTGAGCCACCAGCAGGCCAGATGGTCCTCAGCCTGGGGACACACTAGGCAGCCCCTTCAGGCTGTGGCTCAGAGGCCCACCTGCAACCCAGGCTCCCACATGATGGGCCCCCAAAGGAACCTGTCAGAAGACACCAATCTCCACCCCCAACACATGTGGCACAGGGCAGCACACAGATCCCAGCCCCCAGCCACCTCCTTTGTGACCCTGTCCCTGGCACTTCCTGGAAGAGGTTTGCTGGGGCTATCAATGCGGAAAACAGAACAGCCTAATGAACCAGAAGGGAGAAGCCCCTGGTAAAGTGGGCACACCCAAACATTCTCCTTCCTTCATCCTGGCGGGGGGGGGGGGGGGGGCAGCATTCCCTGTGTCCATCCTGCCCATCCCAAAGTGGAAAAGTACTCATTTCACTACTGTGGCCAGTGGCCTTGACCTACCCTGACACCAATGCTGACCTTCCCAGGGTCCCACAGAGCAAAGGACACTTTCAAGGCTTTGGGGACTCCCAGGCGCACAGCCTCCATCCATGTGAACAGTTAGCTCCTGCCCAGCCCTGCTGGACCCTGGACTTCATCTGTCCACACAGCAGCCAGGCCTCAGCATTTCCCTACCACAGAACTTCGTGGCACAAGCCCTGAGCAGCCCAGATGGGATTCTGTCTGGGTCAGGGGTCACAGCCTCAGTGGGTCCCCTGTGAGCCCCAGTGGCAAGGACAGGACATCAGCCATTTAGAGGGCAGCACCTGCCCCTCCCTCCACCTCTGCAGAAGGATGGGAATAAGCCTGACCTAAGCCCTGGGGGCCGGCAGCCTGCCCTCACCCCTGGACCCTGGTGCTGCCTGCTGCCAGGTAGATCCTAAGAACCTCTCCTGAAGTTCCCTCAAGTTCTCCTGGGGAGTTAAGTTTGAAGTCACTGGGTGGGAGGCTGGGGTCCTTCCCAAATGTTCACTGGAGGAATGAATGACTGAGTGATCATCCAGGCCAGCCTCTGCCAAAGGGAGGACTCTAAGAGCCCTCACCTCTGTCTGCCTCCGGGCCATTCACTCCCACGGACACACAGAGGGGCTGGTTCCAGCCCTGCGGCCTAGGGCCGGGGTGGGCGTGGGTCCTGGCCCCTTGGCCCAGCGGCGCGCCCCCACCGGACCCTGCTCTGGGCGCTCACCATTGAGCTGGTTGTAGACCACCTCCTCCAGGTGGTCCAGGCGCTGCAGGATGGCTTCGCGGTCGGCCAGCGCGCCCACCTTGGCGTGCCGGCTGCGCACCCGGCGGTCGGCGCCGCGCACGACCTGCACCAGCGCGGCAGAACGGTCCTGCAGGCGGCAGTACACGGAGAAGAGGACGATGCCCACGAACACCAGGATGTTGACCGTCAGCAAAGTTTTGATCTTCCTGGCCACCGCCATGAGTGCGGCTCGGGCGGGGCCGCCTCACCGCGGGGCATCCCCAGGGGCCTGGGCGGCGGCAGCCTGGGCGCGGCCGGCCGCTGAGGGGACCCTGGGCCGGCGGGCGGGCGCTGTCCCTTCAGCACCGCCGTCCGGCGCGCAGGGGCTGCCCGGGGCTGCGCGCGCGCGGCGCCGCCGGCATCCTCCGCAGGGCGCCCGCC